CATGAACCTTAGACTTTCTTCATTTTGTTCTGATCTTTTTTCTGATTGATCCCTTTTTAAAGAAGTATTGAGGTATTTGTCTTAAATCTCACTAATTCTGTCTTCCATTGATTCAATTCTACTCCTTTGCCCATTCAATGTGTTATCTATCTCTGAAAGTGTAGTATTAATCTTCTGGATTTCTATCTGTAGATTTTGTATCATTTTTAATTTTCTACTTATTTTGTCATTTTGTTCTTGTATTGTCTTTTGAAATTGTTTTAGGGTTTTCTCTGTTTTCCTCCATTTTGTCAGTGTTTTCCTTGATCTGTCTCTCAATTTGTTGAAGGTACCTAAATATAATTCTTTTGAATTCCTACTCAGGGAGATCCAATGCTGCTTCTTCCTCAGGGATGTGTTTTGGGTCTGTATCCTGGTCCCTTGTTTCTCCTGCTTTATCTTGCTTCTTTGTGTGGACTGTGATGCTCTGTTGTCTCTGAGACATTGTGACGTTTTTGTGTTTATATTTAATTGGTGATTGTATATTGGAGTGACTTGCCCATGATTTTTGTTTTCTTAGAATAATATCTATGTAAGCAGGGTACTGTGCTCCTCTATTCGCTAGTTGGCAGCACTTATTCACTCACCACCTGCCTCCTTTCCTATTGTCAGCCTCCTGTATGTCCCTGCCATTCTCAGCAAACAGAGCCTATTCTTAAGTCCCTGGAATACAAATGAGGATGCTGTCAGTTTAAATATCCAAAATGGCCACCACTTGTAGACATTCAAAATGGCTGTGTCCTCTGGACAGCTGAAAGCCCAGAGCTCAGATCATCTCCTTCCTTGCTGTTTCCCTTTATAGTCATAGGCCACCAGTGCAATCATCCTTGCAGCCCTTGGCAATCAGTGCTGATCTTTAGGTCATCTCTCAGGTCCCAACACCTCTTGGAAATATTCAGGCTGTTAGTACTGTCAGAGTAGCTGACAGTCCACAGCTCCACCCATCTCCATACTCACTATTTTCATTCAGGTTTTTCCACTATTTGGTGCCTTATTCAACTTCTGTATACTTCTTTTCAAAGCTCAGGGCTCCAGGATTATCTTCTGTATCTCTGCCAATTGGTTTCTCTTTTCTTTGTTGAAGAGGCTCTATGTAGCTTGTCTGCTTATTCTGCCATCTTACCAGGAGTGCCCTTATTTTTTCTTCAAAGAACTTTATAGTTTTAGGTTTCATATTTAAGTCTTTGATCCATCTGGAGTTAGTTTTTGCATATGGTGTGAGGTACAGATCTTGTTTCACTTTTCTGCAAATGGATATCCAGTTTTGTCAGCACCATTTGTTAAAGAGACCATCTCTTCCCCCATTTAATGGATTTCAGTCCTTTGTCAAAAATCAGCTGACGATAGGTCAATGCATCTATTTCTGGGTTCTCAATTCTCTTTCACTGGTCTATGTGTCTGTCATTGTATGAGTACCAGGCTATTTTGACTACTGTGGCTGTAAGTAGGTTTTGAGATCCAGGGGTGTGAGACCTCCTACTTTGTTCATCTTCTTCAATAGCGCTTTGATTATTCGATGTCTCTTTCCATATAAAATTAGTGATTGGTTTTTCCATTTCAGGATAGATCTTGAAACATTCTTTGTGATGATAAATGCCATTCCTTTTCAACTTGTCTTTCCCAGCATAGTAGATCATATGATTGTCTAATTCAAAATGGCCAAAACTGGTCCATTTCAGCTCACTAATGCCTAGGATATCAATCTTTGTGTGTTCCATTTCTTTCTTGACAACTTCCAATTTTCCAGATTCATACTTCATATATTCCATGTTCTGATTATTAATGGATGTTTGTGGCTGCTCCTTCTCATTTTGAGTCTTGCTATGTCAGCAAATGGAGGTCCTGAAAGCCGCTAGGTTCTACTCTGATGAGGCAGCTCTTTCCTAGTCATATTCTGAGTGCCTTCCAACCTGAGGGGCTCATCTTCTGGCAATGTACCAGACAATGTTTCAGGGCTATTCATAAAATTGTCCAGTAATACATCAGACAGCGTTTCACTGCTAGTCATAAGATTTCTCCTGGCCAATTATTTGAGAAGTGGGTGGCCTCTTCCTTCTTCTGAGTCTGTCTCAGTCTGGAAGCTCTGCTGAAACCCGTCCACCATGTGTAACCCTGCTGGCGTTTGAAACACAGGTGGCACAGCCTCCAGCCTCACAGCAACACACAAGCCACTACACTAAGACAAACTTACAGACAAGTTTGTCTCCCTTAGCTGTTCCAAAACCTCTTTGCCCACTTCTTGACCTTCCCCAATGTCAATGTTAAATTTCAAAGACCCATTTATATGTCCCTATAATAAATTTTGGGAGCTCTGGTGGCATAGGAACTAAGACATTTGACTGCTAACCAGAAGGCTGGTGGTTCAAACCCACCAGCCACTCCTTAGAAGGAAGATTGGCCAATCTACCTCCATAAAGATACCACCTCAGAAACTCAAGATGGAGTTGCTATGAGTTGAATCGACTCAGTGGCAGTGAGTTTGCTTTTTTTTTTTTTTTGGTTTATAGTAAATTTTGGGTTAATAAATGAGAACATGGGGTATAAATTTAAATTCCAGAGGAGCAGAAAAGTCTCTGGGTGGCACAAATGGTTGGGTGCTCAGCTGCTAACCAGAAGTTTGGAGATTTAAGTCTACAAAAGCACCTTGGAAGAAAAGCCTGGTGATCTACTTCCAAAAACTGAGTCATTGAAAACCCTCTGGAGCACAATTCTACTATGACATACATGGGGTTGCCATGAGTAGGCGTCTATTTCACCGGCAGGTGGTAGAGGACTAGAACTCCTAGAAGTTCTGTGCATTGCCTAGGTGGTGGCTGGCTATAAAAATTTAAGTTATCTCACTGAACAAGAATTTGCAAAGCAATCTATTTTTTAAAAAATCTGTATTTTATTACTGGCTGTTATTTTAAATACATATTGTGATATGTCTGACATATCTTAACAAGAGTTAAGAGGAGCCAAGTGTTATTAATATTGAATCAGAATTGATGACTAAATCTCTATATAGCTTTTGCTAGTTTAAAGTTTAGGAGCTCTGGTAGCATAGTGCCTAAGGCACTTGACTGTTAACCAGAAGGCTGGTGGTTCAAACCCACCAGCCACTCCTCAGAAGGAAGATGAGGCAATCTACTTCCGAAGTGATACTGCCTCGGCAACCCAAGGAGGGGTCGCTATGAGTCCAGTACGACTCGACGGCACATAACAACAACAGTTTGAAGTTTACATTTGATGGTAAAGCTGTGAAAATCGCTGTGTTAATGAAAAGTATGTTGGTTTAGAAATTAACTTTCTTTTGAGTTACTCTTAATCTCTTTGTTGTACTCTAATCAGTGTTCTTCATCATTTTTGCTTATTTTAATCAGGGACCTAGATAGAATCTCTCCAAATTGAACAAGTGCCTTAATTTTCTTATCTGTTGCCAAAAACAAATAAAAATCAAAAGCAAAACAAATCCACTACCATCAAGTCAATTCCAATACATAGCGACCCTATAGGAGAGAGTAGAACTGCCAATGGGGTTTCCAAGGCTGTGATCTTTTACAGAAGCAAACTGCCACATCTTTCTTCCATGTGTTTCAATCATTGACCTTTCAATTAGCACTCAAACCCTTAACCACTGAACCACCAGGGCTCCACCTGTTGCCAAAACTTCAGTGGTATTGTGAACCAAACCAAAACTTTGTTTTCTCTAACCCCCCACAAGAGAATACCTAGAAAATTTGATCTCTTCAGTAATGAGCTTTCCTATCACCACACTCCCCCTCTCAAATAATTGAAAAGAACTTAGATATTCTTTAAACCACATTTTTCATTTAAAATTTGGACTTTATGCACACTTTCCCTATTATGGAGCTCCGGCAGAGCAGTTACCACTGCACAGTTCGCACCCATCAGCCACTCTGATGGACAAAGATGAGGCAGTCAGCTTAAATGAAGATTTACAGTCGTAGAAACCCTATCAGGCAGTTCTACTCTGTCCTATAGGATTGTTACGAGTTGGAACTGACTCAATGGCAGTGAACTGGGTTTTTTCCCCATCATTAAAGATTTTTCCTTCTTGGCAAAGTTGTTGTGCAGTGTTATTGGGTCCAGGTTGAAGCTCAGATAGCAGGAGCAAGAGGTGGTTACAGTTCACCAACAGGCTAGCTCATTTTTATTTATTTCCTGAGATTCATCTCAGGTGTGAAGCATCCCACCTCATATAAAAGATGTAAAAGTAAATATTATTATTATTATAATTTTTTAAATCATGGGTATCAAGACATTTTGAGTATTGTCTTTGTCAAACACCATTCCCATAACTGTATCCTCCCAAATCAATAACCACTAATTTTTGTACTTCTTTTTAAAAATATTTTTGATTATGCATAGATTATAAAAGCAATGAATAAAAAGATGGCACATATGTTATGAAGGTTGTTGTTGCTGTTGTTGTTGTTGTTTGCCGTAATCACCACATAATACCAATATCCTGTTAATTCTCATAAGCACTTTATAACTACCCCCCTCCCCCCAAAAAAAAGAACAGACAAAGCAGATTTCTCAGTGTTGTTTTCTTCTAAGTGATGAGAGTGACACTGATCATGAAAGGTCTGTTTGCAGGCCATTAACAATTTCAGGCCCTATTTTATTTAAATCCTTAGCAGTACTTAAGGGACAGGATCATTTTATGTGCATAATGGCATGAATTCATTCTGATTGTAAGCTTTGGCTCCTATATGATGCAACTATATATATATATATATATACACACACACATATATATATATTTCCCAATTCAGATTCAAATATTAAATAAAAACAGATGTGCAAAAGCAAACAAAAACCACCACCAAATCACAACTTATCCTCCACAATACCAACTGCTGGGAGAAAACAAATGTCCTCTGTTCCATGTCCTCAACACTTAAAGAAGGAGAGATTAACACTCCTCCATGACCTGTGGTGATTTCAATGTCTACAGAGGCCAATGAAGGAGGGGTACTCTAGAAGTGTTGTGGGTGGTCTCTGCAGCCCCTCTTAGGCCACTCCTCCTCCACCCACTTCCGCAGGACCTTCTCCACGTCAGCCCGGTGGTAGAGCCTGCAGAGCTCCATCAGCTGGTCCACCGTTCTCTGACTGTTCCGGAGCAAGAACTCCAAGGTGGGGCTCTGGGGCCTCTGCTCCAGGAAACACAATTCATCATAGGGCATGCCCCATTTGCTTGCAAAATTCCTCCAGTTCTTTACTGTTGGGTGACAGGGATCTAGCTTTATCCTGATCACATCTAATACGTCCTGGTCATTGAGCAAGTCACTTATGTTGGGGGCCCGGAGCGAGCATGAGGAACACGTACAATTTTCTTTACAGGATGTATCCTTGCTTAAATCTGCAGGGAGAAACAATATTTTCCAACATGTCAACGAGGCTTAAAATATGTATTCTTTTCTTATCACTTTTATTTTCCTCGTGAACGGTCAATTCAAACCAAAATCAAACCCATTGCCATCTTGCCATAAAATCTTTGAATTCATGGTGTGACCTCATGTGTTAATGAGTAGAATTGCTCATTAAGGTTTTCTTGGTTTACAGAAGCAGACTGCCAGGACTTTCTTCCATGGCACTGCTGGGTGGGTTCAAACTGCCAACTTTTAGGTCAGCAGTGGAGGACAAATTGTTTGTGTCACCAAGGGATGTGAATGGTCAATAGCAATAGCAGTTAAATATAACATTGTTCTTATTGCTGTGTGCTATCTATTCAATTCTGACTTGCAGCGACTCTATAGGACAGAGTAGAACTGTCACATAGAGTTTCCTAAGCTGTAATCTTTATGGGAACCGATTGCCAGGTCTTTCTCCTGTGGAGCTGCTGGTAGGCTGAACCACCACTTTTTGGTTAGCAGTTGAGTGCTTAACCAATGTGCCCCCAGGGCTCCTTAAACATAGCATAACATATCTTACAGAGAAATATTTCAGAATGTGCATTTGTATAGATTCTTTATAGACAAAAATAGATAGAGTGCAGGAATCAGCAGTGAGTTTTTATAAAGCCAGTTTCACTTTCTTTCTGAGGCTCTCAATGTGCAACAGTGTGCATCTGTGCAGATGCTGGCCAGAGAGGAAGGCTCCCAGGAAGAGTTCTCTTTGTGCAGGTAACTAGTCCAGTGGGGTCAGACACCACCCCTGCCACAAACAGATTGCTGTGCCCAGCAAATAACCTGTCTGTACTTGCACAAACTCCAGCCCTTATCCCTTCCAAGTTTCAAGTAAAGCCTGACAGCTTTTAACACCAAATATAGCCTGTCAGGATATAAAGCACTGCACAATTCTTTAAAAAATTTTTGAAAGAAAACAAACTGGAATATCCACTCTATATACATATTTGAAAATGAATGATAATTGATAATGTCAGAAAACTTACATTTTGGATTTATGGCCACCTTATCATCCTTTGCCTTTATCTATGTTTTCTGCACCTACAGGCTCTCTTTGATGTGGGGCCAACACCCAGAGGTCTGCATGGTGGGGTGGAAACCAGGCTGGAGGGTAAGCAGGAGGCATCTGAACTGAGCTCTCACCATGAAGGGCATACTCCCAGATAGTGGGGACAGCATTCTTATATCCAATCTTTTGCCCCATATTATTAGTGGGAGGATAAAGTCAGTAAGTAAGAGGTATTGGCAAGTAATTTATAATACATGATTAAGCCACAGCTGCACAATGTGGCAACTTGAATATTTTAAATTCTGCAACCACACTGAGTCTATGGGCCCTTCTAAACTTCTGATTTTAAAAGACAATGGATACTTTAGAGATCACTGGCCTGTTAAATCTTAGGTGTGGTAGGTAAGTTTGTGTGGCAACTTGGCTGGGCCTGGTTGAGTGGCTGGGTAGCTGGATGTAGTTATTCCCCATGGTAAGATTAGTAATTAACTCCATGGTGGAACCTCTCGGAACAGCTGAGTAGCTGCTTTAGGGATGTGGTCTGTTTCCTGTATATAAGAAACATCTTTGGGAATGGTCTCTAGCTTATGGCACACTTGAACCCTGCATGTAGCCGAGTTGTTGTTCAGCAGCCTGCCATTCTCTGCCAATCTTGGGACTTTTAATGGACTTGAATTAATGACCTGCCATGTGCTTTGATAATATCAGGACTGTGCCTTATTACTTGTCAACCTTGGGTTTGTCAGCCTCAGCAGCAAGCAGCTGAGTGAAGAAACGCCTCCAGCTTCAGTGGGCCAGGACCAGGAGGCAGAGCTGAAGCCCAAGGTTGAGGGGCTTCCACCCAGCCCCTAGAGCCTTGCACTTTGAACTCGGACTTAAAGCCTCTAAATTGTAAGAATATACTCCTGTTTGTTAAGGCCATCCCATTTGTGGTATATTTCTGTCAGAGTGACACTAGGTACCCAAAACACTAGGCAAGGTTCTGGTGATTTTCCTATCCAAACCAAAAGCAAATCCATTGCTGTCAAGTAGAGTCCAACTCATAATGATTCCATGTGATAGAGTAGAACTTCCCCATAGGCTTTTCTAGCCTATGATCTTTATGGAAGCAGACTGCCAAGTCTTTCTCCCATGGATCCCTTTGCTGGGGGGGTTCAAACTGCTGATCTTTTGGTTAGCAGACCATTGCTTAACCATTTGGACACCAGGTCTCCTTATGGGAGTCTTGGACTTCCCAATTTAGGAAAAGTAAAGAATTTGAAAAGAAGGAGTAATTTTGGTGATCAAAAGATTGAGAGCCACCAACTCTGAGGCAAGTACAAATTAAAACATAAAATAAGCACTGTGAATATTATGTTTATACCTTTTGACCAACTTCTGGGACTCTCATCTAAAGAGCTAATCCAAAATATGCATATATGTGAACATGCTTACTATAGTGTTACTTATATTAGCAATTTTTAAAACCACAAAAATGTCAAAAGTTAGGGGAATTAAAACAAAACAAAACCCAGTAATGTGGATTTGATTCCAATTCACAGTGACCCCATAGGACAGAGTAGAACTGCCCTAGAGGGTTTCCAAGGCTGTAAATCTTTATGGAAGCATATTTCCTCATTTTTTTCCCATAGAGCAACTGGTGGGTTTGGATTGCCGACCTTTTGGTTAGCAGCCCAATGTTTTAACCCTTGTGCCACAAGGGGTCCTGTTAGGAGAATAGTAAAGCAAAACATTATACTTGATGGAATATTATTTAAATGCAGCCTAAAAAATGTTTGTGCTGTAATGTTAAATGAAAAGTGCAAGACATAAAAAAATGTATACAATCTTTGATTAGAACTATGTGAAACTGTATCTTAATATTACTGCAGGAGGAGGTGTACAAAAATAATAATAGCTATTTTGTTAATCTGGTAGGGCTGTGTTTCTATTTTCCAAACTTTCTGCAGTAGTGGTGTATTTGTGTGATAACTAAAATAATGCATTACCTTAACATATATATTGTTTAGCTTAGCATAGAGGACATTTATCAGTGGAGCAGCCCTCCTCTTGGCCAAACTTCACTTATGCCTTTGAACTCATCCTTTCCAATCTTTTCTGTGACTCATTTCTTCAGTTATTGCCTTTCTTTCCCTGATTCTTCAGCCATCCACCTCTACTGATCTCTTTTCTTTACCTACAAATGTATACAGTGGTGATGTTACTAGTTGACATCAAGTCAATTCTGACTCATGGAGACCCCATGTATGCAGAGTAGAAATGCTCCATAGGGTTTTCAAGGCTGTGACCCTTCAGAAACAGAACACTAGGCCTGTCTTCCAAGGAAGGTCTGGGTGAGTTTGAACTATCCACCTTTTAGCTAGTAGTCGAGTGCCTAATGGTTTGTGCCATCCAGAGACTCCTTACAAGTATGTATAGGGGTCTTCTATCATAAAAAACAACCACTTCAAACTATCCTTCTCTGGTTTTATAACTTGCTGAAGTACTTTCTCTTATTTATTGTTAAACGTCTAGAAGAAGAATTAAAAACCTGCTTCCTCCAATTCCTCACCATGCTTTTAATTTTCATCCTCTTTGATTTTGAGCAGCAGGTGACCCAATCTCATTCCCTCCAAACTCGTGGTAGAGACTGGGCCCAGTTCTCTGCACACTACTGCTGGCCAATATCCAGTTCTCACTGGGCAGAAAATGCAGAATAAGGATGTGGATCCCCACCTGATTCTGAGGGTCATTGGCTTCCTGGACCTCCTGCTGCTGTGGGTGCCCCATCACATCTACTCCTTTTGGATATCGCTGCCCTCTGAACCAGGACCAATGTTTCTTTGCCCGTCTGGATACTGCATTTACACAGCAGGCCGGTTCTCCTCAAGTTTCCTGCTTACAGCCATATCCAGTATCCCCAGGTACATCCAACCAAGTCCTGGCCATTCCTTCCCTTATCTGCCTGCAATGTCAGATCCTGTCTCATGACTGAGTCCTTGACAGCAAAAAAGAGGTGCCTTCCTTCTGTTTTAGCCATAATCCTCTCTCTGTCCACATTTTCACTCCCTGCTGCCCTTTTCCACTCCTACAATTTGCCAGTCATCTCCATAAGACCACCCTACTAGAATGTAAGGCCCTTTCTCTTGTCATCAGCAGGACTAGTATATCTCTTGGTAACGAGTAAATGCTTAACCAGTGTTTATTGGATGAGTGAGCGAGTGAACATAGGAGTGAGTATATGAATGATGAGCCCCACTCACTTTACTGGGCTCCAGAACTTATTACTGGAAAGTTCCTCTTGATGTCCAGATGACATCTCCAGCTCAACAGACCTAAAACTGTGCTTAGTTTCTTTCCCTATGAGGTAAAAAACCCCAATTCCCCTATTTGCATTTATGGTTACCTAGCATCCTTTCAGGTTTTCCCCTGTATTCAACAAGTGACCAAGGCCCAGCTTTCCATGCAAAGCACGCCATGCTGAGCTTATCTCTCATGATTTCCTTAAACACAGCCTGTGTTCCAGCCAAAGTGGACTACTCAGTTCGCTGAACAGATAACCTAGCATTCTCTTTCAAAAAGTTAAAATTTGCTTAAAAAATAAATAAAAGAAATTAAAGCTCTGAAGAAAATTTAGAAAATATGCATGATTAAGGATTCTGGATAAACTATCAGACATTTAGGATTTCCCCAAATTTTTATGACAATGAAATAATGCAATGTATATAATATATGCTTTTGACCACATTTTTAATCATCTCATCAGTAATGGCACTATTAGGTAAAAAATACTAACATACTAAGGCTATTGGGAGCTCTGGTAGCATAGTGGCTAAGGCACTTGACTGCTAACCAGAAGGCTGGCGGTTCAAACCCACCAGCCACTCCTCGGAAGGAAGGTTGGGCAATCCTGCTTCCGTAGTGATACTGCCTCGGAAACCCAAGAAGGGGTCGCTATGAGTCAGG